TGCATTAACGATGTATCAATTTCAAGATTTACTGGATTTGACAAGTCAATTAATAAGTCAATCCCTAAGGAGTGGTGCCTGAAGATTAAATGTAATTTAAGCACAATTGCACGCAATGCGGTCAACAAGTGGCGATCAAATTGCGATCGCCCGCGCAGCATCGGCATACGCGCTCAGGACGGAAATGAAAAAATTCCAAACCAAGAATGTTGCCTTTACCTTTCGCAATGCTAGAGAGTCGCGTAAACATTGCATTCGCTACACTATCGAAGCACCATGTAGCTCGTCATTTCATTATATAAATCCGACTTTCAATAAAAGCAACTTTTATATCGCTAAGTATATTCAGACACGTCTAGATATACTCGATTTTAATTTATAATTATAATTATATAAGGAAAGAAACATTTTACGAGTAACTTTTTTCGATGATTAAGAGAGATCACTGGCTACGAATTCCAAAAACGCACGTCTGACGCACACGTCGCGTTATTGCTTCGAAGAGCGATACCGATAGCGAGGGGAGGAGAAAGGCCGTGGTCAAAAGCAGCCGGAGAACTTTTTTCGCATTATTTCCGACATGTCGCGTAAACAACGACGAAGAAGTGGCGGTTGTTTTTAGTACAACCTTGGACATCCAGAAGTTCTGGTTCTGGCAATATGCGACGCGCAGTGCGAAAGGGGGGTCAACCGGGGTGCCTCTATCATTATAGCGCGCGATAGCTGCAAATGGTGAACGGGTTTCTATTCTCGTGCTCCGCCTTCGCTTACTCCCGCGGGGTTGAAAGCGATAAATATCGAGATAAGGAGGATGTTAACTCGAAATTCCTATGCAGATACGGCGACGTTGTAAAATTCCGATTTACATTAGCGAATTATAGTTCGACGCAGATAATAAAATTCTAAATGATATTAATCCTCCAAAAAATACTTGTCATCCTCAAACCTCTCGAATGGGAAATTCCACCTATAGTTAAGAAAAAAATATATCTTAGAAAAAAAGCAATAGAATTGATTTGCATATTAAAAAAATACAAAAAGCAGAAAGAGTATTTTTATGTGGCGCTATTTTCTACCTCGAGAAATGTTTATGGCTTTCGTCGATGCATTCAGAGTGTAATAAAGTTTGATATCGTTTATTATCGAAAGGATTACTAGCCGTCGTCTCAATAAATACACGGTAAATTATAGCATCGGTCAGCGCAGCCACCGATGAGATTATCGTCTATGAGATCTGATACATAGAAAATACAGCGTTGCTCCGAGGAGTAAGTGCTTTTAAAAACTCGAATATTACTTCCTCTTTGAAAGTTATGAGAGGAATTAAATCCGAGGAGTTTGAAGAGAAATCTTCTCCTTCGTCTCTCGCTGCATCAGTCGATATCAACCAATCTATTCTATCCGATCTCATCGATATATTCAAAGGAATCTCGATTGTCTATAATGAATCGCGATCTGCAATTATTGCGCTGAAGGCACAATATAAAAACATATTTTGCTTTAATCTTTAATGCTGAATAATCCTGTAATTATCAATATTCAATCATTGAAACAACGATCGTGCAACGGAGTGCAAAAAAAGTATATCGTTGAAATCTGAGAGCACCGAGATTATATCCGATTTCAATCGCTGCTTTGTATGCAAACCGATATTTAATTTGTATGAATGATATTAATACAGTTTTATCGATGATGTAAATGTGCAAGACAGTGAATGTGCAGTCGGCAGGAACAAAATATCCCATGCATGAAATAACTCGCATTCTTAAAATGCATCGACCTTCGGTTATTTCTCGATCGACCGAACGCGACGGCCAGTTGATATTTCACCACCGATTTAGTATGTATTCGTTCAGCCAGTGTCGAATACTTAGGCTAATAATATATTGCTGGATGGGACGCGAGAACTGTGGTGGAAATAATTCAATAATCTCGTATCAATCACATGATTATTCGCATTATTCGCATTTTGCTGCTGCTATTATTATTATCATTTTCCTTTTGTATATGCAATACGATAAGGCCATTTACATAATATCGATATCCTTCATGAATCAATTATATAATTACAGTTACAAGAATACCGACACGCTTATTCTAATTGAGCGGAACCGTTATTCGTATCTATGCATCGCGCGTTCATATCAGACACTCTTGAATGTCAACTGAATATTAATTTGTTTCGAAGGGAGAAATATCTCTGATGAATCAAATATCCAGATTTTTAAACAAAGTCAAGTTTATTTATTGTCATTATTCATCACTGTGCAAAAAAAAAATAATTTATACGAGAGAGTTATTGAAAAAAACTGAGTTTTTAAATAAAACATAATGTGGTTTCTTCATTGTAAAATTTACATAATAATTTATTTCCGTGCAGATTATACCTTTGTCTTTATTTCGAAGAACAAGGTGATAATAAAGAGAAAAATAAAATCTATAAATCTGGATATTCAAGTGACATACAGAAATTTCCATCTGATATTTATGCCGCACAGGCTAAGCCTGATATATGCTGCGCCAGGCTGCATACTGGCATTCGCGATGGTCGAAGTTGCATACTTGTGCATCTTGCTAGTCGTAAAGATCCTTCTTCTTGATTACAAGTGACAAGGGACTCTCGATGATCTTATGTTTACTGACTGAATGAATATGTTTCGAAACATGCCAATTTGCGTCGCATAAATGATTAAGAAAAAGCTAGACGATTAATTATTACTTCATAGACTTTTTATCATTAGTCCACTTATCTCTTGAATGGCATGAAAAATTTGAAACGACCAACCTGCCGAATCCTTTCACCGGAATAAAAAACGATCTTGAATGACACCAGAAACCATTCAAGATTCCAACGATGGAAACGTTTAGAGGCGGGACACCGGTAGCGGATCGCGCGTCGAAAGCACGTCGCAAACTTCCGTTCCGGTTGCGAAACTCCCAGAAAGTACAGCAACGACCAGTCCCGCTGCTCGCCGGACGATTTATGTGTTCGTGTGTGCGCGCCGACACACCGCCGTACGAGAACGCGAACGCGTAGTCGCTCGAGGCTCTCCCTTGAATTGTCCGTGTACACGCTTTCCAAGGATCCCGGCATCGTAGAAAGTTATTTGACATTTAGAGGAGTCCGGAGTTTTTTCACCCACCCCGATGACCCACCGCGTGCCGCGAATCATTACTTTGCGGGGGTACACGCGCGCGAACACACGCGCGAGACAGATCACGTATAATGCTGATGAACGAGATAATTGCCAGCCAGTGGATTGCAGGTGTCTGTGATTGCGAAAATGGAACTGTATTTTAGACTAAATGAAGCTGAAATCCGCACAGCGCTATAATTATTTTCATTAAGGACCATTGCATTGCTCTTTAATTTGCATGTCATCATCTTTGTACGTCAAGCGCTTGTAACATACGTTATCCGAAGATTTAAATTTTATTTTGCTTATATATAACAAATCATGTCTTTGTCATGCATATAAATGACATTGATATCTAATTTTTTCAATGGAAAATTTAGGAATTGTATTGTAAGTTATGTACAAATTATTGAGATTTCAAAATTCTAAAATAGCAAAATATATTTGTATTTTGATTTAAAATTGTGTTTCTAATATTTCATTAAAATGTCCACTTTAATCTCCCGTTTAGTGTCTATAATTGAAAAAAAAACATCCGGTAGTTTCGTCTTTCAATTCAAGGTATTTCAAGTTTCACTGTAGCTAAAGGGAATCATTAAATCATCATGCTCGTGATTCTTCCGCGCCTCGTACGCGAGCCCCGCGCGAAACGAGTGCGGAATTTCTGTGCGGCTCATTAAACCAATCACTTCAGGGTCCACGGCGGCGTTAATTGTTATCACGGTAGCGGGCAGCGGCTTGCCGCTAACGTAACGTAACGTTAACGTAACGCGAAACTCGCTATCCGAAACGCGCCGCGAGAAAGTCGCGCGGCGTTCTTTCTTCTTGCTTTCTCTTTGTACACCTGTTACGTAAGCGAGAAGCGATCGCTCGTGCGCGTGCACGATACTATCATCCGTTCCGATATGTCATCGATCTTTATTAATACAACACCGGACCGCCCGCGATCGCACTGGCCGAACTGGGAACAAGTGTATCGTCGTGCACTTTACATGCGTTACATAAGCGCTTACAAAGCGGAACCGGCATTCGGTACTCGCGTAACCCCGAGATAGACGAGTATTTTATATGATTATACTGACTTGAATTCTCACATCTCGTATCTCACGTGTGTAAGCGTCAGAGAAATCGGCTAACGGTTTGGTCGATAAAGCAGAAAACAGAACGTAAATTTACCTGTCCAACATCTATCGTACTGTGCGAATTGATTGAAAATATAGATCGAATTCTTGTGTGATGTCGCGAGTTCTGCGAAAAGGTGAGACGAATGCTCAGAAGTAATTGCACGAGAAGTCGTATAGAAGTTCTTGAAGAGAGTGCTTGTTTGAAAAAGAACAATTGTAAGGAATTACAAATTTGGAAAAAAATCGAACTTAGTGCAGAAAATTGAGAGATTTGTAATAGAACTTCGGCGAATTTATTTATTACATTATCTCTTTCTTTTTCAATAAACTGTTCGTTGCTATTTTTTTTCATTTGACATAGACTCTTACGATAGTTACATCGGAAGTGGAATAAATAATTTGGTGAAATTCGTAAAGATACTTGATCTCAATGCGCGATAGATTTTTGCTTTATTGTAGAATATCACGTGGAAAGATCAACGTCACAAAGTGTCGTGTGTGAAGGAAGTGAGCTGTAACAGTGAGATCCAATTAACGCGAGCCACGATCAAGTCGGTTGAGGTCAAATTTATTTGTGCAAATCATATACGAATTTGCGCCTGTTCGTTAATTCAAATTCTCTTCCGTGAATCTTGTGTACAATAAACATTTAAAAATTAATGATTTAGCCGAGAACTTAAATTTGGCTGCGTACGGTTCGCGTTAAACAATCCATTTAGTCTACGTTTCAAAGTAAAAAATGAAGCAACTTGGAAATAAATCCTCTAGTGCATCCTCTACGTCATTCTCTGATGTATCGAATGTACGTGTTTACAGTTCAAGCAGTCAACTTTCGGAACAGGAAAGACGTCGTACATCTGTCTCTAATGTACCCCCTGATGTATCCTCTGATTTATGTTGTGGTACATCAAATTTAACAGTTTCCAGTTCAAAAAATAAATTTTCAGATCAGGAAGGATCTTGTACATCCTCTGCTGCATCTTCTAAATCATGCCCTAGTACACCGATTACAACTGATTTTAGATTAAAAAATACACTTTCGAAACAGGAAGGGCCTCGTACATCCTCTGCTGCATCCCCTGGTTTATATTCTAGTACATCGATTAAAGTGGATTTTGAATCACAAGATAAACTTTCGGAACAGGAAAGACCTCGTACACCCTCTACTGCACCCTCTGGTTTATATTCTAGTACATCGATTAAAGTGGATTTTGAATCACAAGATAAACTTTCGGAACAGGAAGGACCTCGTACACCCTCTACTGCACCCCCTGGTTCATATTCTAGTACACCGATTGTACATGATTCTAGTTCAAAATATAAACTTTCGAACCCTGAAAAACATCGTACATCCTCTGCTGCATCCTTTGGTTCACACTCTAGTACACCGATTGTACATGATTCTAGTTCAAAATATAAACTTTCGAACCCGGAAGGACATCGTACATCCTCTGATGCATCCTCTGATTCATACTCTAGTGCACCGATTATAACTGGTTATATGCCTAAGAGAAAACTTTCGGAACAGGAAGAATATGATACATCCTCTGGTACATCGATTGTAGCTGCTCGTTGTATAAATAAATTTTTGGAACAAACAAAATATCGTATACCCTCTGATGCATCCTCTGGTTCATACTCTGGTGCACCGAATGTAACTGTTCGTAGTTTAGAAAGTAAAGTTTCGGAACAGAAAGAACTTTGTAAACCCTCTGATACATCCTGTGATTCATCTTTTGAGTTATTCTCCGAGTCAAACCCTGAATTGACTGTAGTTGCTCATAATAGAAGCAGTAAACTTTTGGAAGGAAATTGTACATCCTCTACTGACTTCCCTGGTACATCGAGTGCAACTATTAGTAATTCAAAAACTGAGTCTTTGGAACAGAAACAACAGAAGTTGGTACAAAGTTTGAGTAAAAATACGGTTAATAATGTGCCCCAACAAAGGAAGGATTCTTGCAACGAATCGCAAAATAATCCTCCTTCGGTTCATAAAATATTGTGCGGGGCTATGGAAATGATAGAGGAGTATGATATAAAGAGCACCGAAACGACACAGGAAAACTTGCCCACAGAAGCCACAAGAAAGTACACTAAAAAAGTAAAGTGGCTGCAATTATGCTTCGTGAAAGAACTCATACCAATCTTTGAGGGAAAGGAAGAAGATGACGTAAACCATTGGTTGGACAAAATTTCAATTATTGAGCATCAGTGCCAAATCAATGAAGAAATAATTATGCTATCGGCGATTATGCAGCTCAAAGGTCGCGCACTCAAATGGTTTAATCGACAGCCCTCGGAAAAGGTAAAATATTGGAAAGATTTCAAGACACAAATACAGAGTTATTTTAAGAGGAAAGTACCAGATACAACTATGGTAATAACAATCGCACAACGATTTTGGAAAATACGCAATGAAAAGTTTATGGACTATGCAGAGGAAAAGTTATCTTTAATGGAATTGTTAAATCTGTCGGATCAAGAGAAAATTGAGTTGCTTATAGACGGAGTGAGAGAGCCGACACTACGAATGATAATACTTGGCGCTTCGTTTACTAGTGTTTCAAATTTTCTAAATTACGTCTGCAAAATAACTGAAGACAAAATTGTTTCTATACATATTTCAAACCAGGCCTGGACTACAAAATTATAATTAAAATAAAGAAGCTATAGAGAAGATCAGTTTAATTGCCAAAAAGAAAAACAATCTATCAGAAGAGAAGTCCAGAAGAACATATTAGCACATTGTACACAAAGAAGACAAGGACAGCAGCTATAACAAGTCATGTGATCGAGCATCAAGAAGATTTAGAGAACAGCGGAAATCTCGTTGTAGATAGCAACAATTTTGAAAAATAGTTCAGACATGAGTGAGAAAGACAGAGCAAACTTAACGTTTCAAACTTTGTTAAATACTGAAAGTTTAATCAGACTGTATAATATTCACACTGTATAAAAAATATTTTGCGAATATGAAATTGTTGGAAAGTTCTGTTTGACATAGTTTTGTTAGTTGTAAAAGATAATGCAATGGATTTTGATGTTTTATTGAGTAGGTAGCTTATTCAAAATCCGTGTTTAAAAATTGTAATCAATAATAGTAAATACATTTTCGAAAAAAGAGAGATAACGGATAAATCTGTTTAATGATGGATTTCAAAATTCTTACTTCCAAATTTTTAGGCAAGCTAAGAATAACCGTAAACAAAAAATCTCAAAATATCTTGGAAGACTGTTTGATTTAAATTTTTACAACTTTGAAATGTGTATGTATAAATGTATAAATGAATGCATGTGTATGTTTATCTTACATGTATGTTATTTGAAATATTTAACACATTTTGGGCATAACAGTCTAAAATAGAAATATTTTTTAATATTTTAATCTTTAACTTAAAATAAAAAATAATTGAAACGGTTTGAAATTCCATCGTTAAATTTGTCCACTCTATGTAGTTTATTAATGTACTTGAAAATCGGAACAAACTTAATATTGTCAATAAAAATTAGATTCGGTAATTCTTCTAAAAATAATTCGTTAAGTGCATTATAATTGGCAAATATTTTAAAAGTTGAGAAAATTGAAGACAATTTTTACGCGAAATTGATTGCTGAAAACAAAGATTTAAACGATAAAATAATTAGCGATGAAAGAACAGAAACTTTCCAGCAATTAAACAGGCAAATAAAGTGGTACAAAGTAAAGCGGAAAAAAAGATAATAAACATGGCATACAATGGATCTGATGATAAATATTCACGCGTTAGAATATAAGACACATATTTCGATGGCAGATAATAACAACATATTCTCTTCATGCGACAAGTTTATAAGAAATATGTTTATGTGATAGTTTTTAGGTAATTATATTCGGGAATATTTTAGAATAAGATTAGTCACATTATATTGTATTATAATTCATTATAATATGTTTTAGAATTTTGCTTCTGCAAAATTAACATTTTTTGGTACTTAATTTTCTCTTCCTTTATTCTTATTTTCGTAAGAATAGATCAGTTCAAGACAAACTTGAATTATCAGAAAGACCGAAAAATCAGACTTGTGTGAGAAATTGAAAGATCTTACTCTGGCATCAAATTGAATTGTAACATTACAAAAATTATATGAAATACTTGCGTTGTATTTCTTTCTTATTTTTTATTTTCAAGAAACTGTCAATTACTATTTCTTTTAACCAACATAGACTCTTATATGTGAAAATGCGCAACGTGAATGAACTAAAGAACTAACGCTCAACGATATAATTTTATATAATTATAACTTATAATTTTTTATGTATGTGACATATAACATATGACATATTTTTACTTGACACCTATTTTGATGATTTTTTTAATTAAAGCTATTATTTGTCACGCAAAACATGTTTACTCTTTTATAATTTTTTTTATAATACGTTATGGTAATGCAAACTTTCTAGCATTTACTACATTCCATCGGCTGTTATTGATGAAATTATCACCGCTGGTTCATTATTAATTCGGCTCAGGTGATTGAACGCCACCAAACTTGGGACCGACTTGCTGAATTAATTATCCATGCGAGACTCTCACCGCGCGAACACACTTTTGGCATATTGTATTATATATCTCCGACGATGAATTATTAATGAGATGCATTGCTTTTCCGTTGCAGGAGGTGCGAGCGGTGTCGCTAATTCTCTGTTTGGGAATTCTGCTCGCGACGGTACAAAACGGTAAGTCTTTCACAACTTTCATTCGAAAGCATAATTCCCCATAAGAGAAACGATTAAAAAGTTTAATATGTAGAAATTCCAATTATTATATATATATATATATATATATATAGAATACGGGAACACTTGGAGACACAGACACATACGCATAATAGCAAATAACATTTCACATCGAATACGAAAGTGCCGATAATGACGATGGAATTTTACGCGTATCGAAAGTGACACTTATAGATCTTAAAACTAAATAATGCCTCGAAATAAATCTTGGAGAGTGCTTATGCGCCGCCGAAGTAAATTCAGCTTGCGAAACGCAAACCGTAAAACAGCACTTATCCGAATCCCCGGGGTCGTTTATCCGCCTACTGCTGCATCATCGGGCTTCACGAAACAATAATCGTTTCCGCGAGAATAATCAGCGTTGTAACTGAGAGTGAGAGAATCGAAATCATGGGACTCGCGAAGAAAACGAAGGGGTCTTGGGTCGCTCGTAAAGTGCTGCTTTTTCCGATTGTCTGAACGCGGCTCGGACGGTCGATCGATTTCCTGCAAGAGTCCCGAGAAAAGATTGAAAGTTGCACCAAAGACTCGTTATTGAACTCGTTATTAAACTCTTTTGTAGAAGTGCAACGATAAATTACACTTAATCGATCGTTCGAGATTTTGTAACACAGCAATGAATTCATTGGGGTCACTCACGTTACGCTGCAAATCTGGGGGGGGGGGAATTTAATATAGAAATTGTTCATTATATTCGCACGAACTTTTCATGTGCAAATTGTTGTGAAGTAGAAAACTGTATCATCAGAGAAAATCATTTATATTATTTCAAAGCGGTTTCAATCAACACTCGCGCTATTATCAAAGCTTAAGTAACTGCACAGAGAATTAAGTAACACTTCTATAAATCGCGCGAAGAAGCCGTAGTCTTCACAATGGACAATAATACTGAAGAATGAGCGATAATTTCACTTTACAGCTTTTGTATTGCTCCTAATAATAACATTTTCCACATCGCGATTAAGTGCAGAGCCACGCCGCGATTTTTCTCATATTCGACGGCAAATCCGGAAAAACGCGCGATCACGAGCGAGCGTGGAGATCACGAGCCTCGATATTATCTGCGCTATTATTCGCCGTGGTTTAATACTGTTATATACCGTTTGTACGATACATAGCGTGGGACTATCGCGAGTATACGTTCGGTGGGCGTGCGGTGAAAGAGAATCTCGAGCGCTCCTGTATCGACGATCTTCGCGAGGCGGGTGGAGATAATGAGCTTACGGATCAAAGGTTTACAATTAGCGCGACTCGTTATATACAGTTGGAGTGTATTCCGGAAAATCCACTCCAATTATTTTAAATGGAATATTCTTGACAAATTTGAGGTTTGTCATGCCACATTTACTCAGAGTATTATAATAATCATCTACTTCTACGTCTCGACTCGAAAAATGCTAAAGACTGAAGGCTAGCCTTTTACTCCAGATTTGAATTGCGAATCGAATTGGACTGGAATTCGTGCTTTACGTGTTTAATAATTATTTTTAATTAGAAATAAATATTTATTCATATTTTAAAAAATCTAAATATTAACTTATATACGTTTTTGGGCAACAAATTTCGGTTCTTTTACTTTGAGAATTACATTGCATCAATGAAATTTGGAGAATGGTAAAATTTTTGCGCGTGCCTTCTATTGAACTTTCCGAATCGCGATCGTCGCTCGGGGATATTTATCGACCTCGTCAAAGTGTCACCGGTTTCTGGTCAGGGTCACCTGCAAGGCTTAATTTGCAGGCCCCTCTCGTATTGTTTCTACACGATGTTCGGCCTCGTTTCACGCTCGATCGGTGAAAGTACGGTACGATAATTCGCCGGCAACGCGAAAGTATGATACGAGTAGTCGAACGCGTCAGCCTTCGCGGGCGATTATGCGCGTGCGAAGCGGGGCAACGAGATGCATACCTCTTTATTCACAGATATATGCATTCGGCTAATTAACCGCTTGGATGATAGCGGGAAACAATATCTATCGCGTAATATTATCGTTCGCTTTCGTAATGCTATTTTCGGGTTACGTAGCGTTAAAGATCGTCGTAACGTTTCGCCGAGGGATATTGAATTAACTAAAATTACACCTTCGCTATTGTAATTCAATTCAATTGTCTTTATAATCATGATATTGGAAAATCTATTCCTATTTCACGAAGCTAAAAAAGTTCAATATTGTTACATAAAGAATCCCAATTGAAAAAATGAAATTTTGCAAGAAAATCTAAAATAATGTAAACAAACAGATTAAAATGTTTTATTCATTATATTCATATCTCGAAATATTAAATTTATCATCCGCCTGTACAGAGCACTTTATAAATTTACGCTTTATGAAAATATAGTTGCCAAGAAGGAAATAAATTCCTATATTGCGTTGGTATCTCCAATCAATCAATTGCATCGTTTACCATCAATCGTAGAGATCGTTACTTTTCTCGAATAAGTTTGTGGCTCAGAAAAAAATGTAACAGATGTTAGAAATGTATTTTTAGACTCGATTAGCATGATCTGCCGCGCAAACCGAAGTCGCGATGCGGCGCCTATTTCTTCGTGTACGTAAACGAAAGTCCAATCGCGTTTCAATTTCTCCCATGGCAGCGTTTTCTCTCACATCCATTTATTTCTCCCGTGTCTGGCGGTCTTCAGTGTGTGCGCTAGGTGTGTACCATAAGTATATGCGGTATGCATATTGGCTATGTACGTCGCGCGCATGCATTTAATTCGCGATCGCGTACACGCGCGTGCATTTAACGATTGCGGTGAAAACGTTTGCCGGTATTCCCGTCGCGACGAGAATATGCTATTGAGAGATGACAGTCGCTGAGAGTCGCGATTTTCGCGACTTGTTGATGCGAGCTGAATGCACCAGAATGCACGTCTACCATTGCTCGTTCTTCATTCAATAGAACTCTCAATAGACTTCTATTAAAAGCAGAAGAATAGCTATCGTGTACGAATAATAAATAGAAATAAAGGAACATTATTTCCTCTTTTTGGCCTGTAAGAAAAGACGAGAAATATAAAAGCGAGAAATTTTTTAGAAGAACCAAATATAAATAATCTAATAATTTCTAAAATTATTTGGATCTAAATTTTCGTTTAAATATCGGATTGATTTATCAGCACCCTCTTTTAACATTAAAACTACAAGAATGACATTTTATTGCTTACTAAAAACGACGAAAACATATTTAAAAATCGCATCAAAAAGCCTATTTTTAATGCTCATCGTCATATTCTTATCTTTCAGGAATTGCCGAACACAGAATAGTTTGTTATTATAGTAATTGGTCAGTGTACCGACCTGGCACGGCAAAATTTTCCCCTCAAAACATTAATCCGTATCTCTGTACTCATCTGATCTACGCTTTCGGAGGTTTTACGAAAGAAAACACGCTGAAACCATTCGACAAGTATCAAGACATCGAGAAAGGTAACGCAAACATGTGTGATCTTTTATTGCATTATTTGCTGAATTTAATTGTCGATTTGCAATACAACTATTAATGGTAATCGTTAGTTTATTATTAAGGGATATTTCTATCGATGGCGAAACAAATTAACAACTTTAACACAATTTATCGTTAATTGCCAAGAAAATTGAAGATTAAATATCAGATACTACTCGAACGTTAAAAATATTCTTCAATAAAAATTTATAATTTTATATTTGTATTATAAAATTGCCATTTGTCAATTGAATGTCCACTCGTTTAAATCGATGTCTCCAGTTATTTAAGTGCACTGCACTGACAAATTCAGAATACATTATCTGTGATGACTTAGCTGATATTTGACTTTCACTCTTCGATTAATATGCTCGTCTGACAGGCGGATATGCGAAGTTCACGGGTCTGAAGACTTACAATAAGAATCTGAAGACGATGCTGGCGATCGGCGGCTGGAATGAGGGCTCCAGCAGATTTTCACCGATGGTAGCCGATCCCGCGAGGCGACGGGAATTCGTCAAGAATGCCGTCAAGTTCCTCAGACAGAATCACTTCGACGGCCTCGATCTCGACTGGGAGTATCCGGCTTTCAGAGACGGCGGGAAACCACGAGATAAGGACAATTACGCCAATTTGGTGCAGGTATATATCTCAACAGTTCTTTTTATCGCCGTAGAAAGGATACGAAACTCCTTGAAAAGGCAAAGATAAAACGAAAAAGAAAGCGAGCGATGAAAAAGACTAGTAAAGATTCATATACAAAAACATGAATAAATGTAGAACACTAGAGCGGCGAGCGCGCTTTTGCTTCAGTTTCAGTAAACTGTGGAAATTAATCAAAATAATTCCTTGGCAGGAACTCCGCGAGGAGTTCGAGCGGGAATCCTCGAAAACCGGAAGACCGAGATTGTTGTTATCGATGGCGGTGCCCGCCGGTATCGAATACATCGACAAAGGCTACGACGTGCCTAGGCTAAACGAGTATTTAGACTTCATCAATCTGCTCTCGTATGATTATCATTCGGCGTACGAGCCTGCTGTCAATCATCACTCGCCGCTGTATCCTCTGGAAGAGGACAACGAATACAATTACGATGCGGAGCTGACTATCGTAAGAATTTACTTGTCGAAAGACGTACTATTGTATAATGTTATCCCTCGAGCAAAGCAATTGGCAATGCGCGCTTGATTGTCCGCTAGGATCACTCCATCAGTCATCTCTTGGAGAAGGGCGCATCCGCGGACAAGCTCGTTCTTGGAATACCAACGTACGGTCGATCGTACACGTTGTTTAATGAAGACGCAACCGATATCGGATCGCCAGCGGATGGCCCAGGAGCGGAAGGAGAAGCCACTCGAGAGAAAGGCTACCTTTCTTATTATGAGGTAAAATTGATGCCAAATTTAATGCAGAAAGCTTAATTAGAAGCGATATATTAAAGCAGTAAATAATGTAGATAGAAATTTTATATATTGAATTACAAAGAATAAAATCGGATTCTTAAGATCTGCGAGGGCGTAGCGGCATCCGATGAATGGGAAGTCGTTCAGCCGAATCCTAAAGCGATGGGACCGTACGCGTTCAAAGGCAATCAATGGGTAGGCTACGACGACGAGAACATAGTCAAACTGAAAGCTAATTACGTGAACGAGAAGAAGCTGGGAGGCATTATGTTCTGGTCGATAGACAACGACGACTTTCGCGGCAAGTGTCATGGCCGGCCCTATCCGTTAATCGAGGCTGCTAAGGAAGCTTTACTTATGGACAATAGGTAAGAATTGAGTCGAAAGCAATTGTCATAAATAATATTCTAATATAATTATAATTAACAGCAGAGTGTTCATTAGTGCACCTAACCTTTCGGTGCTATTAATTTATTAGCATTATTATTATCATTAATGTCTCAATATATAAAGAGATTAAATACATTAATAAACAGTAAACGTAAAATATATATTTTGTGCGAAAAATATTATTTCTAGAGCGGTTAGCAGGTATCTTATTTTCACTATTAATTTAATAATGCGAAATTCAGAAGAAAAATTATTATTATCATGTAGCAGAAATACGATCGACAAGACGAAATCAATAGACAGTCGAAAGAAGACCCGCACTCGCACTCAAGGTGCTCAGAGCAATGCTGTCGCTCGTAAGTCAAGTACGAACAGCCGAAGAAGTAGTACTACGTCGGCTCCGATCAGCACTAAGCGTGTACCCTCTTCAAGACCGAAGTATCGTACCGCTTCGAGGACGAAAACGAGCGACGAGGATCAGGAAGATCGGGAGGTATCGAGGAGATCGTACGATCCGTCGACGGACGAGGATACAGAGGGTAAAAACACCGTCAGAATCACGGAGAAGACCGAGCAACCGAAAAATCGAAACAGAAGCAAAACGCGAAGCGGTTCCACCAATCGCAACTCTCCCAGAAAACAATCCAGACGTAAGGGACAGAGCAAGACTGGCGAGGATGAAGAGTCCTTGAGCAATAAACTAACAACGCCCGAACCACCGACCACTCCTGATCCAGGAAGCGGTGAGTTGTTATGAAAATTATGAGGTGTTTTTAGCAGCAAGCTTTTTTAATTATCAGAGATTCAATTCGAGATTTTAATCTTGGATTTATTGAAAAATTTTTTATTGATAAATAAAAGTGTGAAAAAAGGACTGGAAGAAAACTGTCTCTTTGCTATATAAAATTAGAGATTCTCGATCCGCTTTTGTAGACTTCAAATGCGAGGACGAAGGCTTCTTCCCGCATCCACGAGATTGCAAGAAGTATTTCTGGTGCCTCGATAGCGGCCCAAGTGGACTTGGCGTGGTTGCGCATCAGTTTACCTGTCCCTCAGGTAATTTTATATCTTTCCGTAATTTTAACATAATACATATATATTATTATATTAAAAATATATAATTTAAATATATTCTCAAATTTTTTAAATTAATTTCTCAAAATAATTAATGTATTTGTTATAATTTCGATTTAACTGATCTAATTAATGTATTTTTAAATTTGCAATTAGTACAGAAATCTATAATTTGTTTTCTATAATGACGTCTCTTGGATTTTCACAGGTTTGGTCTTCAACAAAGCTGCGGACTCTTGCGATTACCCGCGCAATGTAATTTGCCCTAAGACATCGAAGACATCGATCGTTTCGACCACCAGATCGCCCATTACAGCCGCGACTAGTCGAACGACTTATTTGCACAGCACCACAACCGCAAAGGCAGAATCGGAGGAGGAATACGACTCGGAGGAGGATTACGACGAGGATGAGATCGAAGAGGACGAGGAAGAGGAAGTGAAAGAAGAACCAAAGACTACCACGACGGCAAAACCACTCGTGTATAAAACACTCACTAGAAGTAGACCAACTACTACAAGCACAACTACTACAACGACAACTACAACGGTGAAACCAAGTGAACCGGAAAGAATCATCGATGACGAAGATGAAGAGGATCCGAGAGTGATCAAGGAATTAATTGATCTTATCAAGAAAGCTGGTAAGTTTCCCAAATATGTATATGTGATTAAGCTGTAGTTTAAATAATTTTTAACATTAATAATATTGACATTTTATCTCACAATTTTTATAATAATTTTTAATACTTTTTGTAAATTATATAGTTGTTTTTATAAGATTTTTCCATAAAATTGACTTTTTCAATCAAAACATTGTCTCTTTTATGATTTATTCCATAATAATTCTTCCAACTCCTACAACAGGCGGAATAGAACAGCTGGAGAAACAATTGCTATTTCAAGAAAGAAATTCCGACCCTACATCGGGCAGTGAAAGCGTCACGCCGGCTACTATTAGTCGTAGTTTATACGAGCGCGTGTTGAGTCGCCAGGCGAATAGAATCGGCAGTCAGCGACCCGTATTATCATCCTCAGAAACTAGTTACGTGAACGGACCAGGAAGATCGCAGTTCGAAGGCTTAGACGATATTCCTGAAGTAAAGAATCTCAGGCAGAAGCCTCAATATGTCACCATCGAGAGACCCAAGTCAGTTTCTCCACTTCTTTCATTATTAATAAAAATATATATCACTTTTTCTATTATAATAATTTTTCTATTTATATTAAGATCAATTCATTTTTACTGCGACTTGATAAACTCTCATTAATAAGCTAAGGTCAAAATTAATCGATGATAATAAAGACGATTCTAAATGTTTACTTATGAATTCGATTATAAATCTAATTATGAATGTTTAATTAATATTTCTTAACGATATTGATATTAATTCTAGATCAGCCACAAAAGAAGATGAAGACATCGATGAAGACGAAGAAGACGGCGACAACATTGACGTAGCTACCTTCGATGAGGAAAGTATTAGCAGTCCATTAGAAGATAATCTATCTACGCAACGAGTGACGCCAAATTATGTGAATATTCGACGAGCGCGACCTTCCACTACAACGTCTAGGTACGATAATAAACAGAATAATGAATTTTATCTTATATATCTCTCATTATATCTTGAAATTTTCAGAATTGAAAACGATGTGGAAGAAAAGGAGGTAGAAGTCGAAGAAGAAAGACCAACTCGCAGACGACGACCCTTCATTTCTTCGAAGTAAATATATATTTCATATTTAAATCGATATCAAACAAACTCTATATTAAAGTTAATATTTTCTAATAATGTTTCTTAGACAACAAAAAAATGAGGCAAACTCTGAAACATCCAAATTTTTCCGAAATCGCGGTTCAAGTTTCAGGTAATTGAAAAATCTTCGTATAAATAATTATATATTATTCCACAAAAAAATAGGAAATACTTTTTAAACGCTCAAAATTGAACAATATTCAAATCGCTGCAACCCGGCGAAAAATCATAAATATGAATCACAAATATAAACATGAATATATACTATCTTATTATTTTTATGTGCCAACTTATTGATCTGTTTATTGTAAATTCAGGAACACAGAGAAGGAAGACGATTCGAAAAGTGCGGATGGATCGGCAGAGAAAAATGACGATGCATCGACGACAAAATCTAGGTTTTTATACATTTCTTTTCATCGTTAAATTTCCAAGTGTAATAAAAGTATTCTTCATGTTTTACTCTAAATATTTCAGGTACATCAGCATACAAAGATTCAGAAGCACCACCTCGAAGATTTCCGAAGATTCATCCGGCGTAGCACCTACATCGGAACTAATCACCGAGACCACTACATCATCGAGACCAGAAGACTACCCAGAAGTGTCTAGTACAACAGCTAGAACGACCATTTCGTCGTCCACGACGCCTACGACGCCTACCACTTCGACTTCCACCGAAGTCATTACCGTGATTAGCGTTGAACCGCCGGAAAACCCGTCTAGTGTCAGCCCGAAGACAGGCGCAATCAATCCCACGACGGATTCGACAAAGCTGGAGGAGAATACGGCAACGGAGATCCTGTTGACAACGCTGCCAGCCGTCAGCAGCTCAAGTCAGCCAGCAACGACGACGACGACGACGACAACGTCGACGACGACGCCGACGACGACGACGCCGACGCCGACGACGACGACGTTAGCGAGCAGATCGACGATCGCCGCGGTATCGCAGCCGCGACCGTTCGGCTTCACTAGACGAAGATCCAGCTTGTCAGATGCGACAACGACAACGACGACTCCGTCGAGCAGATCCAAGGTGAGTATAACGTCACGAAATTCCACGCGCCCATCCGGTCCATTTCTGGGGCGAGTTCGATTAAGGACAACACCGACCAACCGAGTTGCTAACGACGAGGATCAGACGGACGCTCCGCGTACAGAAGCTTCCACGCCGAAGAGCAGATCACGCAACAGAGGATCCAGTAGATACACCACGCCGACGTTGTCATCGAAATCGAGGACAGAAAATGTTGCCGCGAGTTCCGGCTCGATTTCCAGATATAGAGAAAGAGGCAGGACGACGACGACGACGACCTCGACGACCGTCAGCACGACCGTCAGCGGCAGCTCCAGAAAAAGATACCGCAGACCCAGCAGAGTCAGCAGCACGGAATCGAGCAGAACTAACGAATTGGACGACAGTCCAATAATCAGGATAACGCAAGGCGGTGCCAGGAGAAATCTATCGTTTCGATCGCGGACCGAGAGCGAGGAAGAGAATAACAACAAGGTAACAAATATCAGGGTCTTCAAAAGGCCGACTGTCAATCGCGAATTATACGACAGAACAAAATATACGAAGAAGAAAGACAACGTGGAAGAGCCGCTGGGAGAAGTGGATGAATCGAGCCAGAAAGGAATTGAATCGACGTCAAAAGTTGCCGAAGCAAGTATCGCCGGCGCGGAGATCGAGAGAAGCGACTCGCTGAACATCGTCGATCAAGAGACTGTCACGATCGATTCCGTCGTTGAATCGAACACACTTGAACCGATATACACGGCGAAATCGATCGCGGCGATCGGTGCCACGACTGCCTTCAGCGGCAAGATCGATTACACGAGTGCTCGGCCGAAAGATGCTGTCGCCACGACGACCGCTCACATCGAGACTCATGAATTTAATCCCGGCCTGGTGATACTTGTCACCGAGCCCACCGATGTCGAAGGAACGTCGGCTGCGCCGAGAAAAAGGAAAGTTCTCTTGAGACGGAGACCGGTATCGTCGAGCACGGCCAATGCTATCGAAGATGAAGAAAAATCTCAAGTGACCCGCAGACGAAAGGTGACGAGACGCAAGCGTCCCGAGGACACTTTGTCCTCGACCAAAATTATTTTCGAGAAGGAAACGAGTCTTCTTCCAGATTCGACGACTCCGATAGGCGAAGAGTCGACGACTGATCGGACAGAATTCACGAAGGAGATGGAAGATTCGACTCTGGCTATTACTGAAACCACCTTGTCCGGCGATTACAATCCCAACGGTTTCACGAAGGTCACTTTGGAGACTCCCGCGGCAGAAAGCACGACGATCCCCGAAGAAGCGACTGATTCCCTGAGCACTATATCGACGATCAACACGTACGATGAAGAATTTCGCTCAACGAACGAAATGGACACCGAAAGCGCCACGATAGAGTCAACACTGGCGACAGCTACGATTGATAATACCGAAAGCGACGCGTTTACGGAAGAAACATCGATACCGTCTACTGAGAATTTATCCACCCGCGAGCAAATAACCACTGTATCGCTCACGCCGGAACCGGATTCCGCCGCAAAACCGAGCTTCGAATCGAGATACGCACGCAAGAAATATATTCGCAAAAATCCCGCGTCGTTTTCGGAGAACGCGACTAATCGATATTCGTCGGCGTCGACGGAAAACAGCAGCCTCGAGGCTCTCTCAAGGCGCAGGAATAATTTGTTCAGTCGACGTCCGGTTTCTTCCACCACCGTTAACGCGCCGCGCGATGATGTTAAATATGAAGAGGAGGAACAAGAGGAAAAAGAGACAGGCGCAGCGGATGGATCTGACTTGGTTAAAGAAATTGTGGAAGATACGACTTTGAGTGACAAGCCGGCTTCGACAAACGATTTTTCAGTCGACTCTGCGGAATTCTGGAGACATTACACCACAGCGTCGTCGAGAGCACAGATAACCTATCCTACAATTCCTGACGACGAGAGTCCTGAAGACCGTGAAGTCACAAACCCAGACTTCGTAGAAGATAATACCTACCGATCGACATCGATTGCCACTCGCAAGCCGGAAATTCGGCCGCGATACAAGGTACCCGTAATTCTGAAGCGGCCTTTCGATCCCGAAGAAGCTCTATCGCCTAAACGACATCCGTTGGACTCCGCGCCCGAAGAATCCGAGAAAACTCCGGAAACGCGAGAAGCCCGACTGCGGCAGTCCGGCTTCCGACAGCCGCGCACGCGCTACAAGCTCCAAGATCGCGACGGCGTCGGAACAAACGAGGAGACAACGCCGTCGGGTCCGGAATCCACGAGTATCTGGCAGCACTTCAGGACGCGCTTGTACTCGAGACGGCCGTCGACGACCAGCACGGAGGCGACGGTCACGGAGACTCTGATACCGGCGAGGAAGTTCAATTACGCGGCGGACGCTTTTCACCGGAAGCAGCAGTCGCTGAGAACGACGACGACGCCGAGGAGCAACGATCCCCTCGACTCGCAGAATCTGATCGATCCGTATCACGCGCGCGTGACGAAGCCGTCGGTGACCAGACTGGTGACGTCGGTGACGGAGTCCGGCACGACGGAGCGACAGAAGATCCTCATCAAGACCAAGTACTCGTCGCTGACGTCGACCACGAGGATACCCGCGGATCAATTTTCCCCGACGACCCCGCTGAACAGAATAGACGACGACGAATCCGTCAACGAGATTCGCCGAGGTGTCGAGCGATCGACGCTGCCGATCGAGGGCGAATTCAGCAATGACGGTCGATTCACCACGGAGTCTCACGAGTCCTCGACCATCGAGATCGAATCGGTGTTCAGCAACTTAATCGCCGGCAAGAGCGCGGCGAAGTAGTAGTACAGCGGTGCCGTTACTCGATCATCGACGCAGCTGACAATGTATATAAATGCAGCCATTAAAATAATTAGGCAGCCGATCTCGCGATCGCCGATTTGGCGGATACGCTAGAGAAACTAATAGACGCGCGTACGCGTCACTAATGTATATAGCTACTTAACGAGCATTAATTGTACTTTAAGATTGCTGAGATAGATGTTAAAACGAATGCGACTGTGCGAACAAAAGGAAAACGACAGAGACTCGCTAGCACACGACGACCGATGACCGAACAATAGTGCTCATCTCATCAATCTCATCAATAACGACGAATCATAACGAGCCTCTTTATTCGCTTTACTGTCTCTCCCAGCGGAACCCCTGACTGAAACCTCTGATAATACGACGATGTACTGCTGCTCATCGCAAACACGATCATCACTAAAAACGCTATCGATGACCCAGGACTCCTTATCGTCCAAATTAACGCAGCGAACGAGACACTACACGATCACGGCGCTTCAATAGATAACCAGAGAGCTCCCCTCTTCACACTAGTCGATCCATCCTTCTCTTCTCCCGTAAAACTGGCGCGGCTACACGCACAGAGACAGAAGGACAGAATGAAGGAGACTGCGAAAAGAAAACAAGACTGCTGAACGAATAAACAAGGACAAAGAGAGCGAAGAAGATCCCGTGAAAGGGATCTCCGCATTAAAGCGCGCTGCCTTGTTCTGATTTTCAGGTCGCCGATACGGAAGCTATCAGGCTGCCGACTCTGAGGGAGCTGGTCGGCTATCCGACGACTCACTACGACGATCGTGTCGCCATCACGACGCCGTCGTCCGTGCTTTTGCACTTGCTACGCGACGACGCGGACAACGACATCAACCGGCAGAACGAGGAGGAGTCGTTTGGAGAAGCGAATGAATTTCAGGCTGTCGAAAAGGAGCTTGCTCAGCCGCCGCGGAATAGAATCGAGGAGATCGGCGACACGTGGCTGCAGCAAGCTTCGAAGAACAAAGCAAGGTCTCGCGCTTTAAAAAGTACAGACGCCATCCTCAAAGAACGCACTTCGGTGATTGATCCAGCACCGACGACAATGCGAGGCATTCCTCTCGCCAATCTGACGTCGAGGCCGGAAACACGTGGGTTTTACATCACCAAGAGCGAGAATGATGTTCCAACATCGACATCGGTGGATGACATTGCATCGTCCTACTCAACGGCCAACGGTTCTGTCGAACAGCGGACGGAAACCACTCGAATTTCCAACGTTTCTACGACCAACGAAATTGTCACCGTAACTTACGACAACCAGAACGAGTCCAATACTTCTAAACATAATGATATTATTAGCGAGAAAGACGTCGATACTCGCGGAGAGAAATTTTCCTCCTCTAGTTATTCGGCGATTCCTTCGAAGGATTCTAGCGCCGAGAATCTTCCGGATTACAAAGAATTTGAAGTAATCGCGATTCCTCTCGGCAAACCTCCGTTGAAAACAGCAAAATCGCGTAACTTCGATTACAATACGACGCCTCTTCCTTACGTCGTTTCCACGACATCGCCGACGAGACGGAAAATCGCTCACGCCGTAAACAGGTACAGGGAGGCCGCCACTCCGTCATGGACGGGTAAGCGTATAGTGTCTAGAAGACGAAGCAGGATCGTTGTCTCGCCGATCAAGAACGCTGTAAGACAAACTGAGAGCGGTTCTACTCGCGCCACGGCGAGCGCCTTCGAAAGCGCTTCCACAATTCCTTTGACTTCCGTAAGGCGTAAATTTCCCGCGACGATACCTCCAATCGTGTCAGAATCCACGATATCTCCTGATATCTTCGACAGCGATGATATCGTAAATTTTGCGCACGCGAAAATCGATGGTGTAGAAAGTCGCACAACTGTAGCGCCGGCGATAACTTCAACGAATCCGATAATTACGACCCCCTCGATGGCAAAAATCACTTCAGCGACAAATGATCCTACCACTGTCATCTCAACGATCTCGGACGATCTTACAACGATCCGTGCAACTACAAATTCATCTGTGATTACGAACACACCGTCGACTGCTGCTGTTGCAGAAACCCCTGCAGCTGCGACTGAAAGTACATTCGCGACTACGAGCAAAATTGAAACTATTTCAGTAATTGCGAATTCTGAAATCACGCCAACAATTATAGATACAACCGTGATTGCAAATGACTCTGTAATTACGTCGAATATTGGAGTTGAAACTACCTTCGCCACAAATGCAAATTATTCGACTGATTTTACGAATACGCCGGTAATTACGAATGCCGACATAGAAACGATTGCAAGCGATTCCGCAACTGATGTTCCAACAGCTATAAATACATACGCGATTGCAAATAACTCTGTTACATCCGCGCCGACAAATATTGGAATTGAAACTGCCTCCACAACTGTAAATTATTCAAGCGACATTACAGGTATAAATAGATCAGCAACTACAAGTGTCGAAGTGGAAACCACCGCAATAGTAAATTCCTTCGGAACTAGTTTTCCACTAATTACAAATACGATCGCGACTGATGCTGCAGTTATGAGTACAGCTATCAAAGCTAAAGTTGCTGCAACGGTTGCAAACTTCGCAGTCACAATTCCAACAAATACGGAGGCAAATAAAATTGATCCTGTAATTACGACCACACCTGCAGCTACCGAAATCACTTCAACGGATTATTCGACATTCACGATTCCAGAGACGCGTGAAACAATAATTCCCGTTACTTTCCCAACGGTTTCTTCTGCTACGAATACGCACACAACAACGAATCGCAATGATCCCGCGGATGCAGATATTACAACTAAAACTGTTTCAACGATTGCTGACTCCACCGCGGTTACGATGTCCGCAGATTCAAACATTTCTTCCACAGGCACAGACACAACTTCAACAAGTTCAATTGCTCCGACCGAATATTCTACGACACATTTCGCAAATCAGAATACTCTTGATATTAATGAAAATTCTGAAGTAACTTCTGTAGAAATCACCGAAAATCCTGCGACGTTTAAAACCTCTCCGATATTTAACTCCATCACAAGTGCAATTTCAAAGTCGCTTCCTAATTCCGGAATGTCGTTAGCTGCGACAACTGCATTCTCAACTCAAGTGGACGAAAATACTGTGACACCGAGTGCTGAGACAGCGACTGTAGTTTTAGAAGATTCCACAGTTCTTTCGACGATCTCTCCTAAATCGATCGCAACGAGCAGTATAATTCAAGCAACCACGAAAACTTACGAGCCGGATTCTGCACAAGCGATAAGCGAGAATTCCATAAAACCAGAAATAAAAATAACTTCTGAGGAAATTGCTTCGAAGAACATACAAAGTCGAAGACAAAATCGAACGAGTTCTCAATATAATACGGCTAATCATCATTTCGGTCAAAAAAGGCGTCGCGTCGTAAATCGAACGAACAACTGGCTCGGCGGATCTGTAATACAAGAAACGAACAATCAATATCCTCGACATCGAATCACAACGTATCACGAACGACCACGAAGACCTCCGAGCTATGCTTCGTCTTCGAGGGTGGTTGAGCAAAATCGCAGAAGAATCACGCAGAAGAGAGGCAGAGTAAATTCTGAATCGATTAGTAGCACCAGCAGACCCGATGAGCATACTGTCGATGTTCCAAATATCACCGACGATCGAGCGGAAAATGTGGAAAAAAGAATGAAAATCTTGAAGAAAGTTGAAGAAAAATTCGAAGAAAGAGAGATTACAACTATAGTCGCACAAGAGACAACAATGTCTCCTCAATCTGATATTTCTACTAAGTATGAAACGCTTCAAGCTCATGAGAATGGAAATATTGGAAGCAGACGGAAAGTTGTACCGAAAAGAGTAAAATCTCAGTCGCAAGAAAACTTTGCAACGGAAAAAATTAGTGTCCACCCTGATTCCACCACTACTGCTGAAAATCTTTCAGACGATTCTCAAAGTAACTTTCACACGAACGAGAGCTTTTTGGAAGGAAAGACGAAACGAAGAATGAGAGTTGTATTGAAAAGCGTTAGACCCATCTCCGAAGAAAAGAATTCAACTGACGAAGCAAATGCAGATTTGAATAAAAATCTTCGAGATGATTTTCACACGGACGAAACTCTTTCCGACAGAGAAAACACGAGGAGAAAAATGGAAGTTGTTTTAAAGAATGTCAGAGCAAAATCTGAGAAAAAAAATGCCACGATTGAAGAAGCAAGTGCGAATTCCGATTCTATCGACCTTCAAGACGAACTTTCAAATAATTCTACAGCGAGCACCAGTTTTCCCGTAGAACAAAAGGCAAAAAGAAGAATGCGAGTTGTATTGAAGACAGTGAAACCTAAATCTGAAGAAGAAGAGACAGAGATTGAAGAAACTCATGAAAAGACACTTTCTGATGAAAGTCTGAGAGGCACTGTTTCAAATAATCTTCGTAGGAGCGAAAACCTCCCCGTCGAATATAGAAGCAGAAGAAGAATGAGAGTCGTATTGAAAAGCGTGAAACCCAAATCCGACGAGAGAAATATAATAACTGAAAACGCGACTGCAAGTCCTAATTCTATCGATAAGGATCTCCGGGGCAATTTTTCAAGCAATCTTCGCGCGAACGAAAGTCTTTCCGACGAAGAAAAGGCGGGACGGAAAATGGAGGAGGTTGCGTCAAAGAGCGTGAAACCCGAGGAAAGAGATTCAATAGCTGAAGAAACAAATGCAGAACCTGACATCGAAACGAATCCTCAAGTGATCTTCACGTCGAACTTTCCAAGCGAGCACGTGGGCGATAGGGAAAATACGCGTTCTAAGTCCGAAGAAAGAAAAGCGACGATCGAGCAGCCGGAAGACACGGAGCTGCAAGCCACGGCGACGTCTGTTCAGACCGAAGAGGACACTGATCGGCCTTCGCTCGAGGTCAGTGCCGCTTTAAACCGGAGATCCACATTGCCTTGATAACACACTAGTTCCTTGATCGATCGCATGTTGCCTTAACTAAAGCGGAAACGGAAAACGAAAAACACCGCCGCCTCGCAAAACTAATGAGGAACCCTAGTAGAGTTGACTAAAACTTCTCGAATCTTGGCGACGGCTGTAACATCTTTGCTTGAAAAAAAAAAAAAAAAAAAAAATCAAATGACTGTTTGAAACATTATAACTCATAGAGAGATTTCGGAGATCGTAATGCCACGAGGATTACTTTCAGCCGCTTAAAATAACACGTATCGCCCAGTCGCCGGCTATGACATTCATCTTTTCACACGTCTAACCGAAATAATCCATCGGCCGACGATATTTTTACGAACGACTAATCCGAGAGGAGTCGATACAAACTGATCGTAGTGGCTTTTCACGAATGCCTACCTGACAAGGTCTCTCGATCATCTAACCAAAATACATTGAGACGAGAATGGAGCTGCATTATATCACTCTTTATACTGCTACGTCATCATCGTATTTTAAGATAGACGTATTGCCTGCCCACGAAGAGTTCTTTTCTCTCTTGACTATTAGAAACGTTTCTACTCTGGGATAGAATATCCGGAATGTGAACTTGAAAACCTGATCTTTCTCTTTGAATGAATATTCTGGGACGCAAAATGGACCATCCTCATGCGCTACTAGTTTTTCCAGCCATCACAAATTAACAAATCTCTTTACGAAAGGCGCGCTGCACGTTTTTGCGAGCGCCCACTTCGCTTAATCTGGTATATTTTCAACATCTGTTAACGCTTGAATCAATAATTAACGTTTTAACGTGCGAAACGTCCCAAACAACACAAGAATTTATAAAAATTTAGAATAAAAATATCTAGAAAATTAAAAAATTTTTTATTTTTATAAGAAGCGTTTCAAACTTTTAGAAAATTAGAGATGTTTTTATTCTGAAAATTTTTAAATGTAAAAAGTCTTTTAGATGTTTTTAAAGATATCTAAAAAATAATTAAATAACTAAGAATCCTTTAAAACGTCTAAGAGACTTCTGAAAAATGTTTGATAATCTATAAATTGTTTAAACGATCTAAAAACAAATTAAGAAACCAAAGAAGACGCAAAAAGCTATTTTAAGTCTATTAAAAATTTTTTTAATATTTGTGTTGTCTGAGATATCGATTTTGAGATATTTTTCGATTTTCTTTATCTTATCAATCTGTCGTAAGCTTGCTTTATCCAAAAATTGCGAACACATATATTCACATATGCATTCGTCGGTGAATCTATTGTAACCGATCAATGCAGTGATATTGTGCTTTATGTATGTATTATACATAAATCGATCATTCCTTAAACAGGTAAATTTCTCGAATAACGGCGGCTCTATTAATCGCAAATTGGACAGCGGATACTTTAATAGACGCAGAAAATTAACGCAATCGACGACGACTACCCCATCAACCAACACTTTGCCGAACACGGTAACCATTCATCGAAGAGTCAGGCCAATCGATACCACTTTATCACCTAGGATTGATTTCGGCGGTAGGTTCATTAAAAACTGATAATAAAATTAATTATAAAAAATTTGCTGCCTCACATTTTCAGTTTGACTTGCTACTTTTAATATTTCCCCTAAATTTCTTATTATATTTCAGACGCGTTCGAGGATTCTTACTCGTATATCAAACTGGCCCAGAATGATCAGAAGGCAGACGTGTTGGATCAAAGCATCCACGCTCAGGAATTCGCGGTGACTTTAGCGGATCCGTCTGATACTGGTACATTACGCTTGCTAGAGACCACGCCATCCAACTATCTAATTCTTGTAATCTAAAATACTACATCATGCTCTCTTCAGCTTCATTCTCTTCGTGGGGTGCCTATGCGTTTCGCCTAACGACACTCGATTTATCTCAAGCTCATTCTGCGATCTGTTTCTTCGAATCACTATCGAACTGTGTTCATTTAACGACAATTTAGATAAATTCATGGAAATCGCCGATTCATCAATTTATGTCAAACTAGGACGCTAATCACTCAAAAGGTCGTTTTATTAAAATAGGGATTCTTCACAATAACGACGTGTCATCTCAATCGACTAATTCATTCACCGAGTTTTTTTCACGATTTTCGCCTCTGTCTTCTTTTCACTATTCTTTCCTACGATTATGCCTACGATTTATGTGCAGATCTCTTCATCATTTATCTCGATCTGTTAGCTATTTATACACTAATGCAATCGTAATTTCTACGCACAATCTCACACGAATCTCAACATTTTTTCTTACGTTCATCCACAATTTCATTCACAGTGTTGCTTTGCTCAGTGAATTAATTAACTAATCATTGAATTCATGCCAACACCGACAAACTGGACAGTACATGGCATGAATCCTTCGTGTGTAACTTTGAGAGGATCTAAACAATTGATTGGTTAAAGGGTGGACTTTCTCAGAAATAATTATTTCACATCGCTCACTTCGGTACTCGAATCGATAGAATTGACGGCACAATTTTACGCACTCTTAGTATTTCTAATGAGATTGTCGAGACACCCTTCTCTTCGTCCCTCAGTCTCTGTGCAGTCGCCGATCATCAATCGGTTGATCGGTATTCACGAATTTCGCTCTTTTTCTTCGTTCTTTCACTCTGGAAATCAATTTCACCACCGCGACCCGCTCGCCCGTAGCGTATAAGCGACGAAAAACTAATGAGGTACCACGACTAGGTCGAACGGCATTAGGAGACGCATTGAGGCGCAAGATAAGCACCACCATAACACCTAGAACCGATCCCACAACCAGTGTCACGATCACGAGCTACAGCGCGGGCTTCAGGAGCCGCCAGAGACCGAGGACGAAAGAGAGGCCGACGGTAAACGCGACCACGAGACCCAGAAGACCGGCGGTGATCGACTACGATTATTACGAGGACGAAGTACCGATCATCGTTGGCAAGTCCAACCTCAACACCAAGCTCTTTCTCACGAGTAAAGGCACGATACGTTGCCTGGACCAGGGCAACTTCCCGCATCCGTACTCGTGCAAGAAGTTCATCACCTGCGCCCGCATGGTAAACGGCCAGGTGATCGGAACCGAGTATACCTGCCCCAACAAACTGTCCTTCGATCCGGTCGGCGGTATTTGCAACTGGTCCGCCGGTCTCGGTTGCAAGGATTGATCGAGATTCTATCTTAACCACTCGACAGTCCAGGATCAAATGTATAAGGAAGTTACCTTAGGTTGTAACAATTATTTTTAAAGTTTAACTTTCTTGAGTTGATCTATTTTTTCTTTCTATGATAAGAATATAATTAGAAAAAAGCACGAATTAAACTTGTCTTGGTTGAATCAAAATGTTGATGCAATCTTTAATCTTTACCATTTTTTTAAATCTGATTTGAGTAATAAAATACAATAATTTTCTATTTATTCCATTAATGCGTTTACATAAAACAAATGTATGATTATTTTTAAAGAATGTACTCTTTTATATTGATTTTTAGTATTTATCGAAAAAATTTCTGGGAAAATATTGTCGAGTGGTTAAAATTATCATCGTAATATTTTTTTTTAGAGTAGTCAAATGCTCGAATATAGCAAATTGCTTTGTTTAAGTTTAAGAATGAATGAAAGAAATTCATAATTTTGTAAAATAAGTTTCTGTTCTATAAATTCTGTTATAATTCATTCTTTTCTCGCGTAGATCTGAACCACTTTTAGATTTTTACTGTTGTCGCAGCACAATGCAAGCATTGTACGGAAAATACGAAATGACATTATTCTTATAGTTTGCAGAATTGTAATAACTATATTAGGAAAAAAAATGAAAGGAAATACCTGGATTATTCGAGGATAATTCGAGGATAATTGGAGGATTGTTCGAGGAGACTTGAATTGGTCTTGTTGAAAAGGTTATATCACCACAACTTTTCTCTCATCTCCCAAAGACGCTAAGTTTCTTCTTAAAATTTCTCGGCTAGAATAGTATTAGTTTTGAATAATATAATATATCCAGTAGAATTTATAATATTAACAAGTTTCATGTAAAATTGCTTCTTCTTACCTCTGAAAAATTTAGCACGCGGCGTAAAAACCGATCCACTTGCAATCACTAATGCTATGAAGTGAGCTACTTTCGGGTGACTATTCCGCTGAAACATATCATGTACTTCCTGTATACGATCGTGTTATAGCCATATAATCAAGCATGAACGCGGTGATATTATCGTTAAAATCTCTTTGTGTAAATATTAATAGTCTTACGTGTAAGTGTAGCGTGTAAGATAACGTTCTTTCTCGCGTGGCGTACCAGCGTTAATTTATCTGTAAATTTTCACGGTGCGATAATTAAGTCTTTTTTTTTACTTGATGAAATACGCTCACGCGACGAATATTAAAATGTAAACTCTCTACTCGACATTCACATCAGCGAGTACATTGAATCTGTCTATGTCGTATAAGATTTTTGTACTTGAAATAAAAGCAGTGCTTAACTACACACGCGCATATTTGTTGCACATCCTTAAGACTAAAAATTATCCTGATTATTCTAAATAAATCGTATAAAATAATTTATCGAGGGAAAACCCTAGTGCGATATTTTTTTTCAAAGATTTCTTTATTTTCCCCGATATTCTTATTTCACAATGTTATTTGTTATTAATCTAGTTTAGGAAGATGAGATGTGGGCAAAACAAGTATAGAGCAGTAGTTGATAAATGTAATGCAGCGCGAGACGACCGTGTTTCCGGCGAGATTTCCATTGGATTGTCGCAATTTCACAAAAAAGGTAAAATAATAATAATAATTACAAGAATTACGCGTGTATGTTGTATGAATAAGAATGTATTCGTATAACAACGTATGACGATTGCTCAGTAACAAAGTGTTCGAAGACATTGATTTCTCGACATTTCTTTGACATTATCGCAATAGATCGAATACGTATATACGTATGTTACAAAGTATAGGCTCTCCTTTTTGATATTACGTATACTTTTTGTGTACATGTATATGTGAGAAAGTGCGTGTGTGCGTTTATCGTTTATTTATATGTATAGTATTGCAGCAGAAAGTTTTCCGCTTTGGCATATGTTTCTCGTATATTACTCGTCTCCGTGTGCCTCCTAATATATAATATACTCCGAAAGAGAAAAAAAAAAAACAGAAGAAAAAATTAAGTAAACTCTCTCTCAAAAAAGAAAAAAAAAACGCATTAAGATAGACATTGACAAGCGTATTAAAGCCGCAACAAGCGAAACAAAGGACTTGCAGTATATTTTTGCCGATAAAAGTAATTGCATTTCACACACGAGCATTTATATCGAGAGAATGACTTTTACGATGATTTAAACCATAATGATGACCAGACTTTTTGACATCGTTTAGATAAGGCTACGTTCTTTTTGAAACATGATACGAGAAAGAGCGGCTGTGGTCTGGAGATTTACACAATGGATTCTATATTACAAATAGCGCCTTATCGCTCTTCGCGAATATATTTATAAAAATAAATACTTTGAGAAAAGTATTTCGTTTACTACCGTAAAATCGATTTAATATCGGAGCAATATAATAAATAATTATTAAAGTCAAATAAATAAATAATTTGCTTCGTTCAGCGTATTCGTTTCGCGCGTATCCTTCATATACGATTTACAAAGGCGACGGCTTATCGTTTAAGGATTCGTAGTGCCGCGCTCATTAAAAAAATATGGACATTATTCGATTTCGAGCGTACGTTTTCTGGATACTTAGCGAGTAGGTCGATTCATGTATCGTCAAGACTCGTAAAGTTCGTTATTATCACTCTTCTGAGTTTTTCCGGATGTTTGTGCGAACATTGATCTATGGCGTGAACCGAACGTTAACGCTTTATGATACGCGTGTGTGCACCTGATACGCGATACAGAATTTGACGATCTTTAAAGGGGCACACTTAAAAACTGTTGACAAATATACGATACGATTATAGAATATAGCAAAGATACAATGGATTCCGTCAGAAAAATCCAATCTAAAAACATTGTTAAATTCGTATCACGCTACAATGGCAAAATCACAAGTCTAAAAATATATATATATATATGTATTCTTTCGCTATATGATCATACAAAATGTAGAATATAGAACTTTTGAATAAATACTCCAATATATAGAGAAAATAGTATTATTGGACTTACTAGTAGCAATAATTCGGAGAGCCTCTAGCATCAATGCACTCACTAACTGCACATATCCAATTATATGAAGTTTTGGTGTAACTGCCGATCTCAAGTACGGCTTAAGAATCCGATTCCTTTCCGGAAACGTCGCAGAGAGAGGGGAATCGTACATTCTATTTATCGTTGGCACTTCCCGAAGAAAAAAAAATGTCAAATCCAAATTGTCTCGTTCTAGCGTAGGCTACACAAAAGTATGGAAGAATAAACATGTAGCAAAACATTTTCTAGAAGAGTCATATCAAACTTCGAACTTCGTGTGTATCAGTTTACACTTACGTTTCTATCCTTTTAACGAAAGGTATCCAAATACGATATCCATTATTGTCGCGTTAATGTAGACTTACATAAGTACGTAATCTTACTTCTTCGTGATATGTGATTTCCATCCTTATGAAGATATTCTATTCGGAATAAGCATCTACTTTTCGTCTGTTCTCTACGACACACTTAGATCCCTTTACGTTAAAACGACACATCGCTTACTTTCTTGACAGTCTCGATATTCCAGCAGCCTCTAGTATGTAATGCGCACGTACAATTATTAACATTTATATAGCGTAGTGACTGATATCGTACGTATTGTACTCTCTCATACTGAGCTTGGTTTTCGTAAAACGTATCGCCACATGAAAATACACTGTTGCGTTAGAATACTAAAACAATAGGTGAAATTTTTAGGCGTCGTTCGTTCGTCAGCCAATGCATGTGTCAGCTGACAAACGTCCGCTTTTTTTTTTTTTGTTTTTTCGATATTACTCGATGTTGAATAATATCAATTTTGATATTATTATTGTTCATCTATAGATCAGATTCACCGTATAAAGCCGTCGAGAAGGAACGGTAGTCCAGTGCTCCAGGAACGGCGCTCGGTCCTTTGAACGGAGGCATTCGCTGGATACAATATTCCGCCTGATCCGGCGGCAATTCTCTCCTCAGCTCGTCCGGTAAGATGTAAGGCTGCAAAATACAGTTCGCGTTCATCGAACATGCCTCCTTTTGTCACTGCAAATTCTTATGTAACATCGAGTACTCTCACCTTGTCGCCGGCGAGAATGCGGAAGCTATCGATGACTTGTTCCGCTGTGTCGGTGTCGGTGGATTCGCGTGTCATGAAATCAAGGAAAGCGTCGAAGTGCACGTAACCCGAATTGTTAGGATCAACAATGGCCAGGATTCGTTGGAAGTCAATGTCGCCCTGTCTGTCCTTTCCAATGGAGTATCCCAGAGACACAAGGCACGATTTAAACTCGTCCGGTGCCAATCTGCCTGTCCTGTTCTTGTCGAAGTGGTTGAAACTACTGCGGAATTCATTCAGCTGCTCCTGGGTAATGCCCTAAAATAGAGAAACGCGTTTGCGCTTGTTCTTTCGAAACTGTACGTAAATACAAGACAGACGTGCTATTTTATCAGAAATACCTTCGAATCTCGAGTAAGGATTTGATTTTCAACTTCGTTAATGTTACGATTGATTGAAGTCAGAAGCTGTTCCCAACCGACACGCAGCGTCTCCATGGTGTACTGAGTGTAGCGATTTTCGAAGATCATGCCTTCCTGAACCGCTTGGTGGATCTTCTCCAATTCTTCAAGATGGGCCTTGTATTGATACACCGCCTGCTCGTATTCTTTCAGACGATGTAATTGATCTTCCAGAGTTCCCTAAAATATACACGGAACATTGATAAATTTAATTTATATATATATATATATAAACATAAATCTCAGCATAAAAGATAAATGTTTGTTTACTAACTTGAAGACCGAGACCAATTGCAGTTACAGCATCCAATTGACGTTCTATCCATGGTCCGACGACATTGGCCTTTTCGGCGAATTGTCGTCTAAGCAATTCATTATCTACATTCACATTTCAGGAAATATCTTTTAAAATGTATACTTAACTGTTGAACATGTGCTTGATTAAATTGTAATAAAAATCTCTATTCGCGTAAATCGATATCGAAAATTAGTGAACATAAATTTGCAGAAAAATAAAGCGAATCATTAATTAGTATCGTAAAGAAAGGATACTTTGTTGTTTGCGGAGTTCAGCGGCCAGAGTACCATCGCGCTGAGGAACTAATTGTCTAACGTCGCTCCATTTCTTGGTAAGATCCTGCAAAGCAGAATGAATTATAGTTCATTTAAGATCAACCTTCACGTGCGTATTCCTTGACGTACCAGCGCGGTAAGAGTGGTGTAAGGATTCTCCAAGCCGCCGGGGATCTGGTACTGCTTGACTATGGACTCGACTTCGCGCACCAATCCCACAATCGAATTGTACTCCTTATCCGCTTCTCCGAGAGTGGCTTTGAACGCAGCGTGCGCGTCCATCAGACCTTGGATTTCCTCCATCGTATGGACGATAAACATGTCCACCAGATCCTCTCTGGTTCCGTCCAGCCAGTTGTTGAACGGCTGAGAATCACGCAATGTCAGACGTTAAGTTCGAGTACGAGAGATAATTCCGCGAACGTAATCAAGCACTCACAGCAGCGCGTTTGGCGAATTCCAAATGCAAGACGTCGATCTTCTCCAGGATTTTCTCAGCTTCGTCGAGAGCTTGACGCCTGCGTTGAGTGAGAGTGCCCAAACGATCCCATTGATCGCAAATACGTTGGCACCTGGCGTTTACGGACGCACTGTCGTGATACTCGAGGGTGCTGCGACGGAATAACGCCAACGTTAATGACAAGGCAAGATGATCGTGAAACGCGGATAAGAAGTTCGGAAATTACTTGAGTTCTTGAGCGATTGCCGCGATCTGCTCCACGCGATCCTGATGGGCCGCGAGGTCCGATTCGAAGGCCTCGTGCTTCTTCTTCAGAGCCTTCAGTTCATTCAGCTTGCATTGCCGGAAGTGTTGGGACGTGAGCATCTCTTCTTTTCCGGCGGTCCACTCCTCGTGCGCGTCCGCCTTGTGCTTGAACTTCTGCGCCAGATGCTCCAGTCGCTCCAGACGCATCATCTCGGACAATAACCAGTCCTCGAACGTTTTCTCGGCTAGCTCCAGGCCTGAGGATCATTTTTCACATATTGCTACTCCGTTCGTGTAAAGAGATAAATTTTGGAAAAAAAAAACGACGCACCTCTCCACGCTTTATTTATGTCAGACACCATTTTCCCTTCCGTCGGCATGTACGCCGGTCTGTTGCTCAGCCTCAGCTTCGTCTGCAGAGTATTAAAGTTCGTTTCCAACTTGGCTTTCTGTTCGACGCGCGGCGGCTTGTGCTTGCGCCGATACGTCCTGTACTCCTCCAGCTTCTTCTGACAGCCAGCAAGGGAGTTGTCGGTCTGCCGATTCGCGAGCCACGGCATCGTTCGTCGTATCCACTCGAGCAAATCGGAAGCCAAACGCTCATACTCCTCCATGAGACGCTCGTTCTCTTGATTCACCTTCAGTACCTTGCAGATTCTGTTAGCCGCCGTCTCTGCCTACAGATAGAAAAGTTTGTATTTTTCTCTAATAACAAGTTCGCTGATCGTATTTATACGGTATTTGATGTGTATTAAGTTTACTTTCGTTGAAACGCATGCAATTGTGAATGCAATCATTTAGAAGAAAAAAATGGAAAGTTTATCTTTCACACAGTGTCACTGCGCGGATTAATAACATCGCAAACACTCGACGCGTCTGTTACGGTTAATTCGAAATGCAACACACCTTTTGAGCACCGCTAAAACAGTGGTAGTATGAGGAAACATAGGTCATCACGGCCCTCTCATCAGGCATTGCCGTATTTCGCATATCTAGAAAAACACATTCAAAGAAACTCAAACCATGCGTTGTTAGCGTAAACACTTGCCGTTAAAAATTTCATTAATCTCAACAGTATGACCAGTCCGGCAAGGAGCGGAACATAATTATTCACGACTCTCAATATCATATCATACATGATAAGAATGTATACTGATTTTTGTCAAACAATGTCAGCTGAAAAAAAAACAATATAAAATTTTGTTATATTTGCAATCTTATTCCTAATGGAAAAATGTTACGGAACACAATGATTTGTATCAGTCCGCTGGCGAAATAATTAAAATAATAGATAGATAATCGATTAGCAGGTCCGAGCGCTGTTAACAGAAGCGTACAATTCGTTTAATCACAACTTGTTTTAGTGAAGATACAGGTCGCTTTTAACGGAGGAGGGACGGACGGGGTGGAATAAAGCGCAACACGCATTTCTTTACGCTGACCTGCTGGGCACCTTGGAACGCGTGGTAGTAGCAGGACACGTACGTCATGATAGCTCGCTCATCCGGCTTGGGAGTGTTGATCAAATCTATACGATATCAAGTGAACATATAAACAATTAAGCGTTTGCACATGTCAGTTCGGTACTCAAAGAAATCCAATCGTAGCTGCGTCCTCTAAAGTACCTAAGCACGATGATTCGACAATCATCTCTTCGATCCTATCAATTAATTTCGATCAAACACGCGTCTCTCGTGCTCCGAAAACACATCTATCGTAAGTACCGTAAACGCTGTTGATTTAAACTCCTGATTCATGCTTACCGTCGGGGTCCAACATGCGAGGAATGTCGAGATACTTTTCAGCGACATCAAAGGCAGTGTTCAGATTCTCCAGCGGATTGTCCTTGCTGAGTTTGTTGTAGTCGATCAAGTCGGGTCGATGACGATGGATAAGAGCGCAGAACGCGAGACCGTCTTTGAAGGACAAATGGAAGTTTTGAACATTGACGTTCTTGTACGGTGCTGTCTTACGCTGGCACCAGAGCAGCAATCCTTCCTTCGCAGTCATCTCTTCCACGGAGATATCTTGAATGGCGAATCTCAAAATAATGGTCCATATCATTCCCAAGGTCATTTTCAAGTTGCCGTCCACGATTTCTGCCAAGAAATTAGCGACGCGTTAAAAAATGCACGTCATAGTAGAATAATATATATGAATTCTGCACTTCTGCATTATTAGACAAATTCTGAAAGACTTATTTCTTATTTTTATACAAAAAGGAATTTTTTTTCGCTTTCGTTATTGACACAAAAAATTAAAACGTGAATGATTATTTTACACAATCTTACATCTTTAAGCAATATAATAGAATTTCAAGGGAAAACATACCTTCCGCGCCAATTGAAACCAGCTTGACGCCCTTGCTGGCGATATAATCGAGGGCCTTGTTCACATTGGCGATCTTGTGGAACCTCATTTTGCCTCTGTCGGGTCTCGGAAGGGTCTCGCCTGAGATCACCTCCAGCAGCAACATCAGTTTCAACCCATTTCTGAAATCGTCTTCGATCGATTCGATGGCAGTGCCTGCTTTGCGTAGATGCGAGTTGCACCAAGCTGTGAATGTCTGTAACGCAACAAGAATCAATTAATCTGTGTTGGATTTCCCATCTATCATCGTTTCGCGCTAAGCGAGACTGATAACGCGCAGAGATAATATGAATAATTGCGGGGCAATCGGACGGCAGTTTCAACCGAAATGGTTTTACTTAGTTTTTGCACTAACAAATGTATCGTGAAGAAATAATCGTTTAAAATGGGGGATTGAGTTTCTCCGCTATACTGCTTAGTGTATATTTTAGTAGCGACCCCGATCCCTCTCGCTATATATATCTGCTGTCCTGGTTCTTAAACCACGTTTCCTATCGTTCTGTGCAATGATTTTCGGATATCTTTTGACATCTTGTGCGATTGTAAAATATCGCACACACTTGTTAAAACCTTTTCTTTTTACACACGTGTCTTGCTGTTTCGTATATTCAAATACAACAAATTGGCACCAGAGAATCTTGCAGCGACTTTCAAGTTAAAAATAATTACTCATAGTGTACTGTACAATTAATGCTTCTATAACGCTGCGTGATAGATCAATTTTTAAAATTAATTTTTAAAACACCTCTACTTTTAATCATAATCATTAATAATTGTTGCGATATAAAAAGCTGTTGATATAAATTATATCTATGGTATAATCGAGACGCGCCTCTATAAAGATTACGCGAAGATAAATCGAAGAGATAAATGCAAGTCCGCGGGATATTTATTTGCTCACATCGTGAAATAAAGCGCGGCATTTAATCGAGATCGATAAAAAATCCGGGACCGGCGGTGAAATTTTTAGGTTGGAAAAATATTGCGTGAAATTCAATACGGGCGGCGTGAAGCACGACGGGCCAATTTTGGACATGAGCCACCCTAACATCTCTGCACACGCTCTAAGATCTATTTGTAAAACATTGACTCCTCCCGCGATGAGTATTAAAGCATTTCGAAAATTGTTTCTAGTTATTTAATAATTAATCCGCAAACAATTTCTCATCCGCGTTATGTCATCCGCGATCGAATTATATACGTCATTTATTTGAGCGAGAAAAGCGTGGATAATACAAATAAATGTTTGCAGTTACACGACATTTCATTTGTATCGCGCGTTTGATTAATTAATAAAATATTTATATTTCGTTTTGCCGATACTAATAAATAATATTGAACGATAAAGTGGCTGAGATTACACTTTCATGCTTCGTCAGTTAATTAAATATAACACGATCTGACATTTATGAAGCCCGTAACTTTATACATTGTCTGAGAGTCTCGATTACGTGCGGATGACGTGCTACATTAATGGAAATGTAGCTATGCACGGTTACGTATTATGATTATGAGGCGTCCTCGCGGATGAAGAAATACGATATATTTGCTGATAACGCATTATTTCTATTTTTGTCTGCCTGTGTTAGTGTATACGTGTAATACGATCACTCGTACATTCTCCAGCTTACGTCGACAAGCATATTCGACCGTTTTCGAAGACGATTTACAACGAACGATAAATTTTATCCCTCCAGATTTACACACGGAGAATTTACAGGCAAAAATTTCGGCCGAAAAAACAATTTGCACGCCCGCCCGATCGTATTGTGAAAAAAATGCGCGATCTCCGCAAATAGAGAGCTATTCTCGGAGGATCGGCACTTATTTTTTTCATGGACATTCAATTCTCCAAAGTAACTAAAAAAATAAGTCGATCCGCTTACTTATTTTACACATTTTAAGTTGATTACATTGACATAGATCTTGTAACTGTCACGATATGTTAATATATGACAATACTATGTTAGATTGACCGGAAAAATAAAACTTCTTGATTTGCATCTGTGCTATTTAAATTGAAAAATTTATAGTAAAGATTAATGTTTTAAGAGAAATATTTGTTTCTTAAATCAGTATTATATATAATTGCATATCAATTTTTATTCAGAGTTATATATCATTTGAAATCTTATACTCTCTTGTTATTATTCTGTTGTAATAAAATATAATTTTTATCAGTTATCGTTACTATGATATGATATATTGTGATAAAATATAAAGTAAAATATAATTTTTATCAGTTATCGTTACTGTGATTATTCTCAATAAGTTTATTCCCGATAAGCCATTATTCTTAATACAATCTGATTTCAGAGCTATCACACGATGCCGATTATATGATTAGCACATAAAATGTAAAAAAGAACAATCACTTTAAAAGCATCATATTATAAGTAAATAATAATTTTTTTTTAAATATATGAATGTCAAAATCATTCCATTTCTTCAATATTTTATTAATGAGATTTTTGGAATCAATTTTTCTTTAACAAAAATGTTGAAAAAAATTATTTATTGCAACTTTCCAATTCTTTGCATCTATAACCAACAATAAATTTAAAATAAAAATTGTATTAAAGTAAATCTCACTTAAAGTTAATCAAAGATTATTATTTTAATATTCAGTATAATTTCCTAACATTCAGTTTTTTTATTTTTTACAACTCGATAATTATTTGATTAAATTGACATCTTGATATTTTTGCTCAAATTCGTGATCTCATAACAATTTTAATACTTATACTAAAGTTTTAGATGGAGAGATGACACCGTTATAAATTTTCTTTATCTCCGTGAGTCATCACATCGCCTCTATAAACTTACGTGACACATGCCAGTACATAAAAGATAATATTATATATATATGCTACGGTTATTTCCGATTTATACCGCGTTATTTCGGCATATGACATTCAAAAATAATCGTTCGCAAAATTTATATAGCAATAAATGCACTTAAATAAATATATAATTAAGTGCATTATTATTTAATAACGTTAATTATCGATATAATTAATGTCAATGTATGTCTCCATCATTGATTACGTATATTAATTGATATATATTCAATAGGATTGATTATTCAATAGCTGCATTCGTCCTTCTAAATATATTCATCGCCAATAAGGAAAAACTACTCTTTATTACGTATTTTATTATTGCGCACAGCGATTTTTCCATGTTCACGCGCGGTCAGCATAATTTCGCCATTATTATTCATAGTTCGCGTAATACTCGCAGTTAGCATAATGTCGACTATAAATAAATACAGTGGTACAAACAAAGCAGCCTGAATTCTATGTGCATAATTCATGTTATCCAAGTCTTGAAATCTCGCGCAGAGTTGTGTGCATTAATCTATTTCTACTCCGAAATTTTGGCAATAGTTTTCCTTCGTTTACGCATCTCGTATCATTCTTATCGGATCGTTGCGTGCCTTATCGAAATACACGCGAGCATGCATAATTTAACCGTCGATAGAAAACGCGACGTCGCTCGAGGCAAAGACTTGCCGTCGTTTATGAGCATTAACATTTGCGAAATGTTCGTTCTAAGAGCTTGTTTTCTTGTGCAACCTAAGAACGTATGCTTCTATCATGTTGTAGTTAAACTTGGCAAGGAAAGAGTTTAATTACAAGCTATTCTGTAAATTAATCCCTCTCGCGGTAGTGTCAACGACGATAAGGCACTTAAGTTGTCAATTTATACTTGAATTATAGAAAAAATTACGTTTCAAATTATCAATTTATTAAAAATATCAAGTCTTTTGCAATAATGGAATAAATGTTAATTTAATTCTATTATAATTTAACATTAAAATAACGCGCGCATGACTTCTTATATCAATTAAATTTTTTAACATTATTATTACAAATAAAATTGCAAGAATAAAAATTAGGTCTTTTTCTTAAAAATGCACAATCTATCGTATGTTTGAGTGATAATTTTTCAACTTCAATAGTTTTTGGTTAATAAATTATCCGAAATAAAATCAAGAGCATCATTCAAGGAGGAGACATATCGTCCACGTAAGCGCTTTATCGTTATCGCGCTTGAAATGTCATTGATAGCAGTGCACCTTGGCAAAGCGTAAAGCGGAAAATCCAATGAAAAACTTGAATCGTGAGACAGAGTTACGTAGGCCGGATACAGTCTTTAATTACTACTGCGACCTTTCGAGTGGGGCCAATACCTAGTCGAAAATAGTTAATCGTGGGTGTGTGGAAAGATATCTTACGCGTGATGAATCCGCGTTTGGCGCACGCAACTAGCAAGAACTATACTTGCCCAAGAAAAATAATCGCGTTACTATTATTCCGCTGTTATTCGCATTTGCTACTTTGTATTTATTCGGAGGACATGATTTTCCTCTACGTCACAACATTCCATCCTTTTCTTTCACATTTTGCGATCAATTTTAATAAATCAAGCTTGACAATGTTCTATATTTTTTTTTTTCAAAAAAGCACGAGTATAATAATTTCTATTTAATTGTAAATCAATCTGCAGATTACGTATATGATATAAGATGCCAATTGATTTCAATAGAATCTATCCAAATCGAATTCTTCACAAAATATGAAATATAAGTTGTTTTATTCGACTGTCTATTCTCATAAATGTAAAACATAATAATTTTGCGTTCGACTCATTCAGTCGTTAGCAATTCGAGCTTCAGTGATGAATACTTTCAACCTTCCATTCATGATCGTCGCATGGCCATTTAATAATGAATGATTCATAATTACACAGGCCACGTCATACGTGGAAAACCGAAACTTTCGAAATTTCTCTCGGGAATTCTAAGCGTATCTGTACAATAAATTAGGATTAAAATACAACAGAATGTACAAAAAAATATAAAAAATAGATATAAAAATTCAAACAAAAATTCCACGTGAAAAATATGTATTTATTTATATGCGTCGTACGTATTTTATTTCTAACCTATCGTGAGATCGAGATATCTTTTCAAGTGTTTGTCAAACATAAAACTTTCAATCTTATCTTTCGAATACATCAACTTCCTAACTATAATTCTCTTTTGCACTTCATCTGTGTGAGATAAAGTGTACTGATAACGTTACACCTCTCTCATTGCTGGCGTCTTATTTTTATCACTTCGTTACGTATCCCAATTCATATAATCGCATGACAATGCGCTTAGTCAAAATATGGCATGTATGGGTCACC